ATAAAACGGCCTAAAGAGAGAATTGCTTAGTTTAGCTAATATATATAATATATGTAAAAAAAAAAAAAAAAAAAAAAATTGTGTAACCTTACGATGTAATAGCAATAGTCTACAAAGTTTGGGGCAGCCAATAATAAAATAGGCCCAATGCACGTGATATTGTCTATCTTCGCAATGCTCGTCCATTTCTCAATGATCTTCGTTATTACTCGACCATTGGTCGAAATCAATGTTCAGAATTTAAATTCTGAATAAAAAAAGATTAATTAGAATTAGAATTACAAAACTTTGAAGATTCTAAAATTCCAAATTCTTTGATTAAAAATTAAAAATTTGACATAAATATTACCAAACGTCCAAAGCATCTACTAAATATTTTCGTATCGTACGTAGTGTTCACAATATTGTTGAGCGTAGGTCCAACTTTGATAATATTTACAATTTCTTTTTTGCCTTTTTAATTTAGAAATATTAAAGTCATTATCAATCAACGATACACATAATCTCTGTCCTTCAATTCTTTGGACAGTAAGTAAATGTTCTTTGCATCTTGCATCAAACGAAACATCAATTCAAGTACTTTATAATTTATCGAATCATTATTTGTGATCTGTATATATATTATAAATAAAGCAGAAATTTTATTCCTGTCAAAGCTCGTCATAACGATAAATATTCGAAATTTTTTATAGTTAAATGAACTTCTAAAAAAAGTAATTACGAAACACAGAAGCAAAATCATAATATTAAACTTTAATTGGAAAAAAGACATCATTTCTACAACTTAAACGATTTTAATATTTTAAAAATGAGTTGGTTGTCAGTATATATACCGAAACGAATTATAATAATTGGACTTTGCATTTTGGGTGTTGTTATCAACTTTGCAGGTATCATTATTTTTTTTCTTTTATCGAAGAAAGTTCTAGCTAACTTTTCTAAATAGTTATTTTTTTTCTTTAGATAGGGCAAACATGTCCATTGCCATAATTCCGATGGCATTGGAATTTAGTTGGTCTTCTACCACACAAGGATTCGTTTTATCATCATTTTTTGTGGGCTATTTGACCACTCAAATTATAGGTGGAGTACTTTCAGATAGATTTGGAGGGAAGTGGGTGCTTAGTATTGGTGAGTAATTGTTACAGTAAAAAATTGATAATGAAGAATAATTAATCGATCTGATTGGAATTGCTAGTTTTATATCAAATTTTATATATTAACCATAGTTATAGGCAAATTCAATTTCTTTTAAATTTAAATTCGTAATGACTACTATTTTTATGCCGTTAACAGCTGCCGCATTATGGACAATATTTACATTCCTTACACCAATCGCCGCTAAATATAATCTATTATGTCTGATTTTGTGTCGAATTTTTTTGGGAATTGGGGAGGGAGCATGTTTGCCTTGTATTCACTCTTTAATTGCAGTTTGGTTCCCACCGGAGGAACGTTCTCGAGTCGTCGGAGCGGTCACCTCAGCAGGTTTTATAGGAATTGTGGTTGCTATGCCTATATCATCATTGTTAGTTGCAAGCTCTTTCGGATGGGAAAGCATCTTTTGGATATTTGGACTTGTCGGATGTATTTGGTCTATTGTGTGGCATTTTTTAGGTGCTAGTAGTCCTATTAATTATCCTGGAATATCGAAAGAAGAATTATCATGGATTTTAAAGAGTGAATATGATGTAAATAGAAATGGTTTAAGATTTAATCAATTTGAGTCTAGCGTGTCAAGAATGGAAGACATTGATCCTGAAGTTGAATCATCAGGAACAGAAACTGCAATTGAAGAATATGAGAATACTAAACTGTTAAAAGCTAGTAATGTTCAAAATTATCTTAAGGTTAACAATGCATCAAATGAAACTTTGGAAACATTAAATTCGAGTAAAGACGAAATTCCATGGAAATTGATTTTTTCTCGGCAAGAAGTATGGGCCATACTAGTTGCACAATTCTGCAACTGTTTAGGTTATTATATAATGCTTAATTGGCTACCAACTTATTATTTAGATAAGTTTGGAGTAGATATTAGAAATCTCGGGTATTTTATGGGTATGCTATTCAAAACATAGAGAATTTTCTCATAAAATTCTGGCACGTTTGTTCATAATATTATCAAATTGCATTAAACTAAATATGTAAACTAATGTATGAAAAGTATATTTCTTTTAGCTCTTCCGAGTATATTACAAGGGATTATGGGATTTGTCGTTGGTATAATTGGTGATTATCTAATCAACAAATTAAATATTCGGGTGGTTACTGTAAGGAGGGGTGCGCAAATTATTGGAGGCTTTGGTCTATCAATATTTCTTTTATTTGTAAGTATTTAAAAGTATATCTACTTTTAAATTCAAAGTCGAGGCTGAAGCTTGAAATTTAATTAT